TTCTTTCTTTCTTTCTTTCTTTCTTTCTTTCTTTCTTTCTTTCTTTTCTTTCTTTCTTTCCTTCCTTCCTTCCTTCCTTCCTTTCTTTTTCTTTCTTTCCTTTCTTTCTTTCTTTTTCTTTCTCTCTCTCTCTCTTCTTTCCTTCCTCCCACTTTTTTCTTTTCCTTCCTTCCCTCCCTTCTTCCCACTTTCTTTCTTTTCCTTCCTTCCTTCCTTTACTTCCTCCCACTTTCCCTCCCCCCCTCTCTCTCCCCACAACCCCAAATTTCCGATTGTGCGAATGAGGGCCGTGAGACACTTTACTGACCTACTTCAAGCTAGTCGTGAGAATACAGACCCTCGGATTTCCTCTCCCCTTCCCCCACCCCAACCTCTTCCTCGGGCTACCAAGAGCTGCTGGGCACCTTTTCCGGGACAGGCCCCTTCGCTTTTCCTGCACCCTTTAAAGCTGCTGGAGACCTCTCTCCCCTCCTCCTCCAGAGGACCCTGGCCTGAAAGTGGGGACACCGACCACCCCCCACGCCTCTTCTCCACCCACCCCTCCCCATCTAAGCTCAATTCAGGGACAAAAACGGTCCTTTTCAAGGCCTCCAAGCCCCAAAATTAAGCCAGCTACGTTCGGGGGCAGGAGGAGGAGGAAGAGGAAGAGGCAGCGGTGTCTCTTACCAAGCTGACCCGCCTCGGAGTCGCCCTTCTCCTCGAGTTTGGCCGGTTCTTCGTCGTCGTTCTTCTCCAGGTCGATGTTCTCTTCTTCTTCCTCGTCCTCGCTTCGGTTCCGGGGCGTCCAGGTCATCTTGTTCTCCTTCTTGAGGCGGCGCCGGGCGTTGGCGAACCAGGTGGAGACCTGGGTGAGGGTCATCTTGGTGATAATGGCCAGCATGATCTTCTCGCCCTTGGTCGGGTAGGGGTTCTTGCGGTGCTCGTTCAGCCAGGCCTTCAGCGTGGCCGTGGCGTCCCGCGTGGCGTTCTTGCGGTAAGCCGGGTCCCCATAAGGGTAGGAGCCCAGGGGGGCGGCGTAAGGATGGTACCCCAAGGAACCCGCCATGCCGGGCGTATGGTCGTAGGGCGAGCCCTGCAGGGGAAACGAGAAGGGAGAAGGAGAAGGAGAGGCGAAGCAGGCCCGAGTGAAAAAAAGGAGAAAAATCCACCCCGGCTGGGGAAACTCCACCGTGGGACAATATTTACAACGAAGAGTCCCTTTTTCTCCCGCCCCTCCCTTAACTCCCCCGCCCCCACCCCGCTACCCACATAATAACAACTCGAATAACGACCACCGAGGTAATAATAACGAATAAACCCGGCCTGAAAGAAAAACCGCGACAAGGTAATAATATACAACCACGCGAGTCGCCCGAACGTCTGAACGCGGGCAGAAAAGATTCGCCACTCGCCACTCCAGCGGGGTTTTTTCCCCCCCCCGCTACTTTTGCTACAGCCCCCCCCCCCCCCCCCGGGACCCCCCCCCCCCCCCCCCCCACCTCCGCTTCCCTCTACGCCGGATTATCCGCCTGTAAACAGCAACAAATTATACACCCCGCCTTCTTCTCTCCCCTTTAATGAAAGGCAACCTTTCGCCCCAACTTCTGCCGTTTCGGCTTTATTTTCCTTTTTTAAACACCCCTAGAAATGGAGAGCTTGTATCGAGCCGGCAAAAGGGGAGAGGAAAACAACCGAAAACCAACCCTCGACGTCGGAAAGAGCCCGGCTGGGCTACTCTGATTTAAAACCCAGCTAATCGGACTCAAGTAGGAGTTAAGACTAAGGAGTATTTTTTTTTCCTTTCCCCCCCCCCCCCCCCCCCCCGTGGCCTAAGGCAGTTGCCTTAAAAATGGATTGGGGTTGCTGTGGCCGGAGCCCTAGGAAGGCAAGGCAGGGCGCCCGAGGCGAATCCGCAGGGCGTAAAAGAAACGCGGGGCTGGCTTGCTTTATTTCACTGGGTTTCCCCCCTAAAGATTTCCAGGGTGACGGGTTCGGTAAGGGACCCTAAGCCGGTTGCCGCAGGTCGCTTTGCACATTTTT